AAATGTGAATAGGCCAGGGCAGAAGGGGAGATACCATAACTGTTTAGTACACGTTTGGTCAAAGGATCGGGTTCACTTGTCCCTTTGACGAGTTTGTAATATGGTGCTACGAATGGCGAGACTCACCGACGATGCCGGCGAACCACGTCCACGGTCCTACTCTGGAAATGATAATGCATACAATGGACTCCAGATTAGGTACGTTCCTCTAAGTCGTCTTACCAATATGACCGAGTTGAGAAAACAAGGTCAAACAACTTCTGACTATCCCAATTGGATTTAACCCCACTCTCAAAAGTTCCCCTTGCTCTCAAAATTACCTTTCGAATTCGTGAGTTTTAGGCGACCACGTTTTTTCTCAGCCACTCAATCCGACTTCCAGTCTGTCAAAGTATGAATGTGACTTTAAAGAGAATATATACTACTCATCTTCAGCAACGCCCAAGGAAAGATTAAAAAAACATATACGAAGAAAAGTTGGGTTTCGAGGAATCTCCTGTTTCATAAAAAAACAAGCTGGTCGGGATCCAGCTTCCCGCATAATAATTTCAAGCAGTCACTATTTTCGGTTGTTAATGAAAAGAGGTGTAGGTTTTGTGACGTACCAGTTTTGTATTTGGCAGGTATGCTTCTTTTCTTTCCTATTATACCTTAGATTTTTCGTAGCTTTCCCAGAATAATTTAGGATCAAAATGCTGATCACGTAGTTCGAGATTTAGGCAAATTAGGCTCCTTGGCATTTAAATTGATAAAAGCTTAGGTATTTTTAAAGTGGAGCCAAGATCTCTTCAACGAAAATATGGTTCAGGTGAAATCATCTATCAGAATGGCCTCTATCCTGATTGAGGCAAGTGAGTCTACGGCTTAAAACAGGGTGCTCACAAGTCTTTTCCCGAAACACCAATACCTTGGCGTTTGTGTGTGCAGCGATACCGTTTCCAGTGTTCCTATATAATGTATGTCTGCAGAATACTCCGAAATTAGGGTACAATATTCTACAGTTACGACTAGCTATCATAGGCATTGCTCGAAACGTCACAGCTTCCAATAAGACGCGATATTGAATGCCAAGCCTAAAGGGCTTTCTGGATTCGCCCTTTGTGCAGAGATTACGCGTAAGAAGTCCAATGTTTTTCATCAAATTCATATGCTGCGAGTCCACGCATGCATAAATCATATACAGAGAAAAAAGTCAGCACTAGAAATATACCACTAGTGGGGGCTCTTCAAGTGTATGGTACACTAGGGCTGAACAAATCTAAAAAGCAGGAACTCGCTAAGCTAGGTCCGTCTGTCCGTCCGTCCATCCCCGAGGAAAGTATTGAAGGTAGGCCATTTTACTAGTCGGACAAGGAATGTTTAGTCAACTTTATCCCGAGTTAGAAGTAGCATAGGTGTTAAGAGGTGACAGTAGTCCAGCGATTCGGAAGGATGGCAATGTCCAATTCCATCTTTCTATCACATCAAGTGAGAACGGAAAGAATAACTGAAGAAGCCTGTTCGCGTTTGTTCAGTCATGAAGTCGCTTAAATCTCCGTTGACGCGTTGGTCAGCTCAAATTGGGATAGAGTAGTGGGCTACTTCTTAAATAGAATGAGATAGTAGAGCCAGTAGAAGCAGTTGAAGAGGAGAAAGCAGGCAGGAAATAGGAAGCGGCTATAGGCATCAATCTCGGATATCTTGGCCGGCTTCTTTTTAGCCGCCTGCTCGCCTGTGATCGGTGGAGTCGCGATGCCCGAACCCCGGTGCACGAGTGCTCCGTGCGAGTCGGCTCCTTGCACCCCGGACAACAGGCCGCCCAGGCCAGGGGTCACCTCGAGGCCCGAGGTAAGTTCAATTGGTACAGCGCCGGCAAGACCGACAATGTTCGAAGTACGCGTCAGGGGGATGGCATGTGCGCCTGGTCTGATGAAACCTCCCGAC